ATCCCTAGCTATTTAATCTGGGTATTAGAAGGTGCAGTTCAAGGCTCGGCCATTGGAGCAAAATTCTGCTGCCAGATGCACCCACCGGAGCACAGGTGCTCTGCATTGCTCTCCTGCATTCACCAAGCCCCTTGGAGAAGTGGGGTGTTTCACAGCATGGCTGGACAAAACCTTACCACCAAGATTGTAATGAACAATTTTTCCCCAAAAAAGCTTCTAGGCAGATTCTCACCTAACGAAGAATGGAGAGGCTTTAAAGGCACTCAGGATCCTGGTGCAATGGGGAGTTGACTGAAAACTGTTGGTTTATGACCTATTGTTTCATGGTTCAGCATTAGTATATATAATGTCATTCTTCTGGTCCTTCTCCAATACACACTCAAAGTGGCAACAAGGAAAGGTTTTGACTGGCCAACTATTATATTGTCACCACATCAGGATTCCCAAACGATGGAAGAAAACACATGAAATTAGTGAAGATGGGTTTGTGCCACTGGAAAACTGCAAAAATGACAAGATTAGGCCACATCATATTATATGATAGCCAAAGTCAAAGTTTCTTTATGTGCATTTATGAGCCTTTCAGAAAGAAAACATTTGTGTTCAAAGTAGAATTGATTACAGTCGTTGTAAAAAGAAAGATCAAGCAGCTGAAGGGTACCGTGCTCCATGTAGACCAGGATAAAACACATAACTTGCCAATGACAACAACTGAAAAGAAAGAGGAACTTGCCAACTGAAAGGTGTCTGGCAGATAACACAGAAACAACTTGAGAGGATAAAACACAAGCCATGGTGATGCTGTCGATGGAAATCCTTCCCAGCAAGTCGTGACTATTACTGAAGTGATAACTAGGCAAGAGGCTGAAAAGCACATGTTACCACGTACAATTGCACTCGAGGAAAAGATTCATGAAAATGGGGTGACTTTTGGCTGGCTTCAATAGCCAAAGCAGCAAGATACTGAGCATTGAGGAACATCTCTGTTTAAGCAGGGGAGGGAATAATAATTGGTGAAACTAATTCCTTCAGAAATGGTGTAACGTAACTTCCCGCTGCAATGGCTATGGCTGCAGACACGCTGCTCCTGGCCTGTGTCAGGTCACTAAACAGCAGATTAGGTTGTCTGAATGGAGAAGTGGCCAAGATGCAGCATTGCTTCCTTCTGCTGTTCTGGATCCTGAGCAGTGTGTGGCAAAGCTGAAGTGGCTAAAGAAGAGACAAACCACAACTTACGGTTGGGGAGCAGTCAGCTTCTGACTCTGGAAATAAGCTCTGCAAACAACCTGCATGGAAACTTGAATACCACACATTACATGTTTCCATCGCAGTCATCCTGCTGCCATGTGTAAAACAAAGATTATTTTGGTGGAAATGTGCAAGGAACAGCCATTTAATTTATTATGAGATGAAATTCTTAAACTAACACATTATCTAGTTCAGCCTCCTGGGACGATTCACATCTGACCCCCGGTGTCAGCAGCTCATTCAACTCATTTTAAGAGATGTGGAATGAAAGAGGTACTGCACTTTCACACAAAGCCATCAGTTAGCCGAAAAAAAACTAGCGAGTCAAATCTCAAGACAGCCCTGTGAATCACAAGCTCATTTACTCGCCAAAGGAAAGTTTTGGTGATGGTGCAGAATAACAAAGCCCCTAATATATCGCAGATCCATTGCACCCAGGCCGTGAAGTTTGTATTTCTCTAACAAGTTGGAGACAATATCATGTGTCAGAGCACATGCACTTGTCATTAGCATGAACATTAAGAGGAAATGAACATAAATCCCAGATTCAAATGTGTAGTTTGAACATCCTGGGACAATTAAATTATTGATAATGGTTATCTGTCAACAAGCAATAAATCATAAAGTCATGGAGTGGTAGAAGAAAAGCTATCTTGCTGCTGACAGATGCGTAGACTGAAAGACGTGGTGGGCCTTTAAGGTTCCAGAAATAATTGCATAAAGGTGAAAGATTTCTTCTCTTCCTTTTTTTGTCATGAACTGTAGTATTTCCACACTCAAAACAAGACTTTCTCATGACAACTTTTCTTACTTGGCCTCTACGTTTTTTGACATTTTAATGAAAATGAAGAACGAAGCTGAAAAGGAGCAGCTGGTGAAGAGCAGGCCTGGCTTTATGGCTGCCAGTTGAAGCACAGTGCTCTGTGCAGAGCAGGGAGCTGGCTCCTGAAATTGTGAAAAGTGACAGATACTCCCTGCTGATGGTAACATCAATGTAAATAAACCCACATTCCCCAACCCCCCCCCATTACAAGACTGTGAACATACAGGAATCGCATAGAGAAAACAAGGAGGGAGCAGACTGAGCAGATGATAGCAAATGAACAGGAGAGAGGCTGACTTCTCTTTTTAAGTCACTTCATATTTGCAACTAAAATAAGACTCTGTATTGAATTTATACATCAAATTTCCCTGCACTGAATACAGTATTGAGCTCCCGTGCTCAGTATAACCATATTTCCTAAGAAGCTACAGGTTTATGCGGACAAGTAGCAGCTGGTGGAAAGAGAAAGGAGTGAAGACATTTCCCATCCAGGCACAGGAGCTGGGGAGTGGGAGCTGGCTGGGGGCCCGGT